TTTCATACAGGACAGCAGATCATTGAACCCTAGAATCACAGAATGGTTTGGGTTGGAAGGGACCTTAAAGCCTATCTAGGTCCAGCCGCCCTGCCATGGGCAGGGACACCTTCCACTAGACCAGGTTGCTCCAAGCCTCATCCAGCCTGGCCTTGAACACTTCCAGGGATGGGGCATCCACAGCTTCCCTGGGCAACCTGTTCCAGTGCCTCACCACCCTCTCTGTGAAGAATCTTTTCCTGATATCCAATCTAAACCTCCCCACTTTCAACTTAAAACCTGCAACTCCTTCTCCTGTCACTACAGGCCCTTGTAAAAAGTCCCCCCCAGCTTCCTTGTAGCCGCTTCAGGTACTGGAAGGTGCTATAAGGTCTCCCCGGAGCCTTTTCTTCTCTGTGATAAACAGATTGACAGTCAAGGCGAATTCTCTCCAGTGTAAATGGCTGTAAGCTTCATGCTTCACGACTGTACTGCTCACAGGTTTTACACCACCATCAGAGATCTGAGGCCACTGTGGAGTCCAGTGTTTGTGGCTTTGCCAAACTGAAAGACTAAGGATGTGTCATATCTTTGTTTTCAGACTTCTTCCTTCTACTGAAGACTAATGCGCACCATTTCATACCAAGCAAGAAATACTGTGTATTCAGGATGCGGTTCATGTGCTTCATCTTCATCCTTGCAAACAGGAAATAGACACTGATCAGCTCATCAGCGGAGTCCCAGTCTTCTTGTTTTAGAGAAACCCATTTCTAAATCTGTGATCTTTAAGGGCTTCTCCTGGTTTAGTAGATAAATTCGTTCAGCCTGTACCTGCTTTCTGAAAAACAGAAAAATTCAGGTAGATCAGCTTTTAAAACTGGTGTTTGCTGACAAATCCTTGATCATAGAGTACTTGAGAGAAATCAGATTAATGGATGGCTAATTCTCTTATTACCTGTTTCCATTAAATGGAGCAAATGAACAATACAGTCAAACTTTAACTTTGGCTTGCCCAAGTTGTTTACACTGTATGTGTTAGAATAATTTCTGTCCAGATTTTTTAAGAGCTGTGTCTAGTGCTTCATTCATACGAAACTTTTCTATATTGATTATGAATTCTTCAGTTTTGAGAGCTGAATTGTTTGTTTTTCAAATTTGCCTGAAATCACTGAAAATCTGAATAGTTAGCATGAATTAATTAAAAGCTTTGGCCATTTTTTTCCTTTCTTGTGAAGTAGTCTTAAGTCAGACCTTTCAGTTCTGATGTACATAGTTAGGAAAATTTACTAACTAGCCCGAACTGATACTTCTTCATTCTTTGAAATTTGACACTTGCTTTTTCATCTTTTAATTTAACCACACCTTGAGGGGGCTGTTCAGTGGGGTGGCAGTTGATGGCTTTCAGATACATATATCTCTAGGTGAAGCAGTGGACTCATGAGGGAACATTATGAATATTCTTTCATTCTCTTTATCCTCAGATTTTGACATAGTGGAAGTCCTAAGTGCCCTTAAAATCAGCCTGCTTACAAAGCCAAAATACACTCCAATAACTCTGTAATGCAAGAGGCAGACAGGGTTCTGACTGAGGAGTTCAAATTCCAAATGGAATTAATTACTGTCCTGAGACTTGCAAATATATATACATTCTTGCCTTTTTTATTTCCTTTGTATGATATACAATTCCCTTGAAAGTCAAGCAAGAGCTTGAAGCAGTGATTTAGTTTATTATTTACTTCAAAACAGGATGAAAAGAATGATGTTGGGAATCATAAAATGCAGTAATCAAATATATGACGTTTTAGAGTTTTGTTCTCAAAAGAGCCCTTCTTGCAGTTGAGGTAATTATCGTGGTGCTTTTACTTAGCCTAAGTAATTTTAATAAGAAAGTAGCTGCTGCATTATGTATTATTGATCTAAGGAAAAAAACCTGAGCATATGAGCATGAATTCATTGAATTCATGTTACTGATTTTCATATGAATGAGGTTATTCAAAAAACATGGCAAATACGATGCTTATGATGTTACCATTTAAAAGTAACTGTACTACCTCTATTTAATTTCTGCAATTTGGAATAAATCTCACTTTATTAGTACTTTTAAGGATGCTGAGTTCTTTAGGGAAGCCATGTAGTAGTGCAGAGCACTGTAACATAAAGTATTAATTAGCATCATGTACTTTAACTGGAATTTCAGCCTTATTTCTCTAAGCTGTTAGTTGTTTAAAGAATGAGCAAAATTTGTTTTTCTTGGAGGAACTGTGAAATGTAAACATGCAGATAGTATAATATTTCTACCTTTTGCAGAAGCGCTAAAAGAGCTTATTCTCATATCCTCAGATCCTGTCATATCCCGTAAAACCAAGAGGGGTAACCCCTTCAAGGCCAGGCTGAACTGGATATCAGGAAGAAATTTTTCATGGAGAGGGTGGTGAGGCACTGGAACAGGTTGCCCAGAGAAGCTGTGGATGCCCCATCCCTGGAAGTGTTCAAGGCCAGGCTGGATGAGGCTTTCAGCAACCTGGTCTAGTGGAAGGTGTCCCTGCCCATGGCAGGGGGGTTGGGACTGGATGATCTTTAAGGTCTCTTCCAACCCAAACCATGCTGTGAATTTATGAATCTAGAATACCTTGCTGTGGCCGTACGCTGTTCTGATGATAAGGAAGATAGCAGTGCATACATGCCATAGACGTGGTTGTGAGCTTGCTGGTGACAGTATTCTGCTGCTGCAAGCAGTGTCTTTCACATGAAATGTAAAGCTGCTGTTTGTAATGGCATTTGGCCTTCATAACTGCTGAAGCTGCTGTTCATAACGGCGTTTGGCCTTCATAACTGCTGTAGCACTCTGAACAAGCATGAGAAATTTCAGCTCAAACCAAATTCTTTTTGTCTGTCACCATTCCTCTAGCCTTTTTCGAGGGGGCTGGGAAGGTTGATCTAATATTTCTCTCTCCTGGTAACTTGGCGTAAATAGCTGGTTTGTGCCACTTCTCCGGTGGCGTCTCTATTGATGATCTCGTTCCGTTTATTCTGGCTGTAAGCAGGCAGAACTGAAGTTGTGTCATTAAATCAGCATCTGGACCTGGCTATCCTGACATGCTGGGCAAAAAGATCTCTGCTTTTCTCTTCCTGTACTTGCTGTTTAAACATATTTATTTATTTGCCCACAGAGAGGTCTTCTGCGTATTAGCACTTCCCTCCTGCCCTCCATCACAGGAAGGAGACCCAGGGAGAGCTGTCTGTTTCCTGGGGGGGTAGGGCCTATGGCAGAGCATCTCCTGCCTAGTCCTGTCCTCAGGAGGCTCGGTGCATTTCTGATGTGTTCCCCCTTAAGCTGTATTGGCTGTCTTCCTCCTTTTCAACTCTTAGTGGGATCTGGAAAAGCAAAGGAACTTACATCCCTGTTTTGAGTCATCTGATGGAGAGAGCAGGACTTCAAGTGAATTTCTATGAACTAGTTGGCACACGGTTGGGGAGCAGAAGGAGGAGTAGAGGTAGAAAGCTTAATATTGAGGGCAGGAGAAAAGGAGGAAATGCAGCAAAATTACAAGGGACTCATTCCAAGGAATGTTGAGACCTGTTGGAGATAGAAGCTTTGATAGGTGAGAACTAATTGCAGAGAATTATGTGTTTGTGAGACAGCAGATGGAGTTGTGGGAACAATCTGTCAGGGGAATGGAGGGTTAATTGGGGACTTTCACAAAATTCATGGGGTTCCTCTGTAAATAAGCAGAGAGAGCATATTCTTTTTTTTTTTTTTTTTTTTTTGAGGACACTATGTGAATAAGGGTTTCCAGAAAGTTAATTTATTTTGCAGTCTCTATTAATGGAATTTGTATTTTGGAAGCTGGGTTCGGAAATTTCTTCTGGATTTTCTTGAGGCTAAGCAGTTATAGAGGTGGAGAATGGAGAGGGAGTAAATTAATGGGAGAAATACAGAAGGAGTGGAAGAAAGCTCTGCGAATGAAGATGTGGTAAGCTTCAGTGTGCAGCAAGATACTGCTTTGTACTGGAGGGTAACTGACACAAGTGTAGTAACAACAAGATTGCGGTGAACCTGCAGGTTATGCACAGCCTTGCATATTTAATGTGATTTATGTACTGTTTTAAAAAGAATCTGTAAAGATTTGTTTAAAAAAAAGAAGGGTAAGGCAGTAGAAGTTATTAATAGTGTAAAGTAAATGATACCTCTGCACGTGTATAATAGATGCTGCTTCTAATTACCTGGCTCCAGTCCCCTTGCCTTTCCTTCCCCCTAAAATAACATATAAATTTGTAATGATGATAAAGGCACTGTCGTTTCAAAGGGACAGGAACCTGCTGGCTTTGGCCAGTTGTGAACATGTATGTCTGTGTATATACATGCATATGCGTACATACACACAGCACAGATTAGAAAATCGATACGTTCTCCATCCAAGTTTTGAAGAAATGGTCTTGTGTTTTTATGCTATTTATAAGATAAGCAGAAATACTATAGGAAAAGGTTGTTGAAGGAATTAGAGAACAACAGGGAAGTGTACTAAAGTGATTAAATGCTAAATTTGTGATTATTTTTGGGCCCTACAGAAAATCCTAAGAAACTTTTTTTTTTGTATGCTAAATACTAATCTAATCTTATTTCCTTTTTAGCAATAGATGTAAACTTAAGACAGACATTAAGAACAGGATATCCTGCATTTATTTACTAATATTCTGGGTTTTAAAAGTTGTTTTGATCACCCCCTGTGTTTATGCACTAGAAATGGGATGTGTTCAAATTTTCAATCCCTGCGGGAAAAAAGCAGAACTTTTAAATGGTGCTGCTCACTAATTATTTTAATACCTTGACAGTTTACCAGCCTGTAATTACTGACTTTTTCTATTACTCTGAACTGAAATAGCTGTAGCGTGTTCACTGTATTTACCAGGGATGAATCACCTGATGCCTGCCATGCTTCTACAGCAAAGGAGAGACTTCCACTAAAAAACTCTGCAGAATGCAGTGGTAACATCTTGGGGGTTTGTTTTATTGTTTTCAGGGTGCTGGGTGCACTGCACTGGTGGTAGCTGTGGTGGCAAGGAAGTTAGAACTTACCAAAGCTGAAAAACATGTGCATAATTTCATGATGGACACCCAGCTAACTAAAAGAGTAAGTCACACTTTATATTCACAACTGAAAAGGAAATGTGTGTTAATTTATTTCTGCATTTGTTTCAAACAGTGTCCTGCTCCATTCTCCTACTGAAATTTTTTATGAGTGTGATTTTGCAAGGGGGAGGAATTGAATGCCTTGAGCTTTTCTCTGAGTTGAGGACAACTGCAAGTTCTTAGCAGATTTTGAGGATTTCGATATTATTCTATAGAGGGTCCTAGCAGCAGGAAGATAATTCCTATAAACAACAGTTAAATGTTGTGAAACTGAAGACTACTGTATTAAACTGAAGAATTTTCATGCAGCATATGAGAAAACATAATTTTTTTGTAGCTAAAACTGGTGAAATGACTGATATATACAGGAATTTCATGCTATGAAGGGCATTCTTAAGAAAAAGACATACTCATAGTTTGCCAGTGACAGTCTTTGCCGTTGCTTTGTGTACTCAACATGAGGTTCACTTAGCAGCACACAGTACTGAAGTGCCTTGAAAGATGTTTGTAGATAATATCTTCAGAAGAGATTATTAAAAAAAACTAAACCACTAGAAATCATTAGACTTTATTTAAAAATATTTCAAACTTTTCCTTATGAAATTTAATTTAACTTAGAATAACATCTTGGAAAATGAAAGATGCAGCAAACAAGGCAATGGAAATCCGTCATTGAAATAAAAAAGGTCAGTGTTGAGGGAACAAGAAAATGAGCAGGAGCTACACAGTCCTCTCAACTTGTTTAATGTTCGTTATTAAGAAGAGCCAATACAGAGCGGAAGGTCCTTACACTCACATCAGGAACGCAGCAGAGTTTGTCCTTATGGATGGGTGGAGAGGGATGCTGATGCCTGAGCTGAAACTCACGCGCTGCGTTACCAGGACACGTCAGCACACCGCTCTGGTTGGGCTCGGTCCCTCGTGTTTGTGCTGGTCACCACCAGCAGCCTGTGTCTCCCTAGGCAGTCATGAAGAAAGACCAAGGAGGTGTGGGAAGGCAGTTCTGATGTAGGTGTAAAGGGTGTCTGACTTGAGGTGTCGATCTGAGCTTGTTGGTTTACACTCCTCTTATAGGGAGTTAAGGTCATGTTGATATTAGGCCACAGGCAACAGTTTGCCCTTTCCTGACACAGGCACTTTTCTAGTGTAATCTGACATCTGAGCTCAAAATATCTTTCAGGAGGGAAAAAGGTTTTTGTGAAGATTGGCCAGATTTCGAGTCTGGTGTTCATTTGTGTCTTTTAGAGTTCATTTTATTCAGCTATTCTTCATATAAATGTAAATATCAGCCTAATACTGTATCCAGGTGGTGATTTGGTAGCTTCCAAGTCATGAAACTCAAAGCACATGAAAAGCCAACCCAGCAAACAAATCTGAGATGCACATCAGGTCACAGGTCGGTTAGGCGGGTGCTGGAGAGGTTTCCTCGCAGCCTGAAGATAGCCATACCTTGTGGAAAGGCAAAGACTAGACAGAGGTTGTGAGGAGGTTGCTAAAATCTTTCTGTGCTTCCACTGAAGTCAGGACCAAGGCTCTCCAACACTTCTACAGGCAGAAGATGGGGACCTCTTGCTGGGAAGAACTGCTCTGTGACATTCCTGCAGTGCCTTTACCTAGACATTGACTAATCTCTGACACTGCAGTGATTAGCATCATGAGAAGTTGGAGGGAGAGAAAATGAATAAGGATGGTTTTCCTTTGCAAGTGACCTAGACATTCTGTGATTAACTGACATCGCACTGAAATTCTTTGTTTTTTTTCAAGCAGTCTTGAAAATTTTGGAGGGCTAAGAAGGAACTGTAGGAACTCTTTCCTACCTTTAACATCTTATAGAAAGCCTCATTTAAAAAAAAAAAAAAAAGTACCTTTGAAGTAGAACATGCGCCACAGTAATTGACAAGATATCCTCCTTTGGAGAATACTGAAAAAGAAACCGGAATAGACAAACAAACAAAAGTATGTTCAAGCAGCTCTGGAAGTTTAGGAGACTGTTAAATTGCTAAGAGAATTAAGAGGTACTAGCCATGGAACAAGAAAGAGAGAAATTTTATCATCCTATTAAATACATTTAGTTAAATACCATACAGAAAATGCATTAGTATTTCCTCACTCTAATTTTTATTGCCATAAACACCAAACAGTATTAACTCTTTAGATAGAGACAAATGATGCCGTGATGGCAAGAGAGTTGGTCCCAATGTCATGTTTATAAGTGGTACAGAAATTGCTCAGCTCACCCTTGGTCCCGTTATTGCTTTCTGCCCTCAGTGCTGCAGCTTCTTGATGTGCTTACTTCCCACAGTTAGGCAGGGTCTTAAGTGCTTTAGAAAGAGATTATGCCGGAAAACATGACCTAGTGCTACTTTCGTCAGCTCGGTGTTTCTCTTTTGTTGAACAGGTGAAAAATGCAGCGGCCAATGTACTCAGGGAAACATGGTTAATTTATAAAAACACAAAGCTGGTTAAAAAGATAGACCATGCGAAAGTAAGGAAACATCAACGCAAATTCTTGCAAGCTATTCATCAGTAAGTACTGTTTTGCTTTGGTTTTCCTCTCCATGTGTTCCCCTCCTCGTTTCCCTCTCCCTCATAGTCACCCTCTGTCCCTGTGTCCCATCCTGCCCCCTCCCTTCTCTCCCTTTCCCCTTTCTTTCCCACTTCATTGGTCTTGAGGTTGACTTTATTCTAGGGTAAGACAAAGATAAGGTTTTCCTGTATTACCTGTTTACAAAAAAATAGAAAAGCATTCTTGCTGTGTATGTCTAATAGGGGGTAAATCAAACTTGTTTATACCATTTTACAAGTTTCCCAGGCTTCTTGACATTTTTTGTCTTTTGCCACTGAGACTATCCTTTGATGTTACTTATTTCCTTACAGGTAGTAAGATACAAGCTACAATAGAAGAAAATGAAATAGGTTTAATTTGTAGTAGATGTTTGAGTAATTTAAAATCAGAAAGGCATGATAGAAGAAAGCCTATCAGTATGTAGTGTTTAATGAAAAGAATGTGCATCAAGTGCCATTTCACAGCCCAGCGGCAATTAGTTGCCTTTCTCCACCATATATTCTCAGTGCATAAAATCAAATGTTAGTATGTCAGCTATGACCCCTGACATCCATTCTAGAAAATGGAAATATGTGCCAACAGTCATTGTGTGACCTTTGAGCACCTCTGGCATGATTCATATGAGTTCCTCCCCTCTACTGAAATCTTAAGGGGTTGAAAACAAGCCTGAGAACTGTAACCAGTAGTAGGATTAAGCTGAATTATGGTATCGTCAGACTATAGTATTTATCTAAAATTTGTAATTCATATTTATCATAAAGCACATCAAAACCAGCAGAACTGGACTGTCATTCAATTAGACATCCTTGGTCTATGTGGGAGAAAAAAAAATACTTTTGTCCCCAGAAACCACATTCTTGAGGAATGGTCAGAACCCATACCACTATTTGCTCTGTTAGTGTCCCCCTCCAGCCTGAGGCAGTTATTTGTACAGCCTGTGAAATTAGTTTCCATGCCATACCGGGGAGATGTAGATAAATTAAGTATATTGAATTCTGAACTGATGTTGTGATAATTTCTGAGTGTGGCTCCTTTGAGCCAACCTGTGAGGAGATCCGAGGGAAGCATCCATCATTAAAAGAACACCTGTGTGTCATCCTTCAGGAAAGACAGGAAGGAAAGGCCATTTCCTATTAGTAGATTCTGGTAAATAACAGTCGGTATTTCTCTGCTTCATAGCAGTGTTTTAAAGCGATGGGTAGCTAAGCTTATGGTGTGAAGTATTCTATAAACCTTAATTATTATATTTAGCAAACTTCCAGGATTAAAAGTTACTGTGCTATAGCAGAAATACTTGAAGGAATAAAAAGACAACAAAAGTCAAGCCATTTTTAGGCAGATACAAAGTGTATTTTCCCAGTTTGGTCAGCCTGTTTAGCTTAAAGGATTGGGAGGCAGAAAGGAGTGGCAGAGGTTCTGGGATAGAGGATCTCATTCCCTGTGCATCACTGGCTGGACTTGAATCCTTGATTGCAAAGGTTATTCCTTAACATTTTAACTTTGCTATTTATTGTGTGTGTGTGTGTTTCTGTGTGTGTGTGTGTCTGTCTGTGAGTGCACACACAAGTTCAGAGAAAAATTTAAAAAGTACAGCAGGCTCGATCTGCAGCTTTATATGTCGTTTAAGCCCAGAAGAGCTTCACAAGATGTAAAGTGTTGTTCTGCACCTGCCTTAAAAGTTCATTAATCAGGTGGGGTGAAGAAGGTGGCAGCAGTAACTTTTTCCTATCTGTGCCAGCCAGACTTTGAACAGCTATGTTAATAATGCATTTCCCTCTGTCGTTTAGCACTTTGCATTCCTTTCCCTAAATTTTGTATTTAAGGACAAAAAAAAAAAAAAAAGGTAATTTTCTCAATATGCCATGGATGAAAACATTGGTCTAGCAGTTTGCTTTCTTCCAGCTGTAGCAGAGTAGATGAGTGAGAATTATTTTTAATCCATTTGCATCTTGGAACTTTTCTCAAGTGACTCATGGTAGTATATAGCTCCTTTCCATCTTTCTGCATTCTTAGGTTTTTATTGGTCCCCCTCCTTCACCTTTCCAACCATTTCCAGCTACAGAAATAAAAGGAATGAGATTTTCAGGGCCACTTTTGTACAAGAAACCAGAGCAGATCATGATAAAAGCCTCAAATTCACGGTCACAGCTCTAAAACTGCCTTCAGCTGCTCTGGGTCTTTCTTGCACGCTAAATAAAATGGTGAAATCATCACTCGAAATGATACTATTAAAAGGCATTTTATATATTGTATGAATAAGAAAATCTACAGATGACAGTTAATGGGAAGGTTTGAAGCTATTGCAGGTTCCTTCATCATGCATGCACGTGAGTTAGACTCCACCGCAGGCAGTTACTGATTGACAGAAGTAGCAACTGCCTGCGACTTCCCACCTGCTGAATCGAGCCCACTGTGCTCATTTGGTTGTTTCAGTATATTTTACAGTTTGTTTTCTTTTGTTTTGTCTTTTTATTTCAACAAAATGAAAATAGAGCTCGGAAGTAAGTTGTATAAGCTGTTCCTTTCTAAATTTGCAGAATTTACCACTGTCTGCATGCAAAAAATAGAGTCTTTATTTGTGAACTTCAGTGGTCTGATTGCTGCCATGGAAACGCGATCCAGAATCATGATCTTTTGCTGTGATAAGTGAAGTTCATAAAATCAAGATGTTTCATATTTTCTCTTAATGAATTTAGGAACGAAAGTCTGACAGCTTTCTTTAAATCCGGCTGCTGCAGCTAAAAACTTGCCATCACCAAGAGATTACTTTAGTCCGTTGTAGGTATTGGGTTGGTTATCATGAGGAATTATCATGTTGGTGTCAGCTAGGACTTGCATTGCTACAGTAACAATGGTTTTCTTGGAATTTTAAAATTAAAATACTAACTGGCAAACTGATGAGTCAGTGAATGTTAAGAAAAGCAGAAAACACATGTTCTGCAAATTAACTGAGAAATGCTCACCAAAACACTAGGGTTTTCATTCTCCAGTCAAGTCTTTACATGCTTACCTTGGGGTAATTACTGTGTTCTGAGACTGTAATGCTGTAACTCCATACTTGGGAGACTCCTCCATATTTTTCACTTTAGAATAGCTCCAGCTTATAGCAGGCAACATTCCAACAGTCTGCATTTATGCTGTGCTCTGAAGGAAGCCTCCAAGGGAAGAATGGTATATGGTGTGCCAGTAACAGGACACTGGAATGTCAGTTTTATGTGAATAATTGATTTCTACCTTAACAGAGTTATTTCCAGATGTTCTAAAAAATATTTCGCTCTTTATGACTTACTTCTCATGGTGATGAGCCTAGATATGAACGGAAATGCTTGGTAACTAAAGAGCTGAACAGAAATGTCCCGATTTTGGAATATCTCCAAGAAAGCTTTCTTTAAACTAGCTTTTTCTAAGTAACACCATCCCTGAGCAACAGGCAGAGTATGCATTGACAACCCACCTGGCACAGATTGCTGCCAAACTTATTTTGATTTGACAGCTAACCAAATGGTTAGCTTGGTTGGCCCTTGACGTACTAATAGACTGCACGGTATCTTATCACACATTGTTTATAAATTGACACGTTGTTTTTGAAAAAATGTATTTCCTGCTTAGAACAGCCACCAGAACAATAATTGAAAGTCCAAGTATTTCTCTGTTGGGAAATGTTGAAAAAATTACTTGCCCTTAAGGAAGAAATTGCTCTTTTGTGCAAATAGCATCTACAGACCACTCCTCTAGTAGTTAATCTGAAGAATATGGGCTTAGTTTCAGGGAACACATAAGTAAAGTCGTATATAATTTTCAGGAAATGTGCATAACTAATAATAGTGCAGATAGGTAGTCATCAAAGAGAAAAATACAGCCTTGCTGCTTCTTTCATAGGTTTTCAGTACTGTAGTCTAAATAGTGAATTGAAAAGGAGTGTCTGATATAGTGTAAAACATAATCGTATTTAGAGTCACAGATTATGTAAGGAAATCGAATATATTGGCAAGTATGTTGGTTATTTAGCTGCTGGTCAGATGCAAGTTCTGTTTAAAGTAACGAGAAACTCACTTATCACTGTATTTCCATCAGGTTCAAACACCTGCTAACCCAATCCATTTCCGACAGAACAGGGCTAATACCTGTATCTAGTCATGTAGGCATGGGAAGATGCTTGATTGACACAACATTAATGACAGAAAACAGTTGTTCTATGTTTCTTCCTATATCTACTTGTCATGATACTGAGGCTTTGAGGAATGTTTTGGCTTTCCTTCATATAGTCTGGATAAACTGTTATCTCCCTTTTTGAATTCAACTTCAGCCATGGCAAATGGTATTCTCAAGGACATCACATTTCCTTGCTCTTTCCTTTTTTGCGGTGTTGAAGAAGCATGCTTCTCATTGTAGCAGGCACATGACCAATTCTGACTTTACACAAAGTACTCAAGGCATCGTCCATGCAGTTATTTGCTCTTGTAAGTTTTGTGCATGCTTTTTATAAATCCTAATATGACCACATACACAAAAAGATCTGACTTAAAATTCCACTTTTTAGATTAAGAAGTGTAAAAATGGAACAAAGGAAATTGAATGATCAAGCAAATACTTTGGTGGACCTGGCAAAGGTTAGTAGGCAATTACTATTGTTTTAACATTCATCCTTTTAAAATGAAGAGTTTGTAAATGAAGATGTTATGGAGTATACACGCAGATATTGTTAACAAATTTGTTATTCGTAGAAAATGAAAATATTTGTGTGTTTTGTAGTAACACCTGCTGAATGAAACGTATTGTTTTTGACTCTCACCAAAGTTTGAATGCACCATTATTATTATTTTTTTTTTTTTTTGTACATTTGAAAAAGATTTCACAATTGAGAGGCTGATCCTGAGAGCTCCTGAAGTGACTGCAGTGGTCATGGTAAATGCTGAACTGTGAGTGAGCTGTAGTAGTGTAGTGCTGCAGGGTGAAGACATTTCCCATCCGGTGATAGTGACTGTGCCGTCAGGGACCGTAGTGCATAGGCTGTCACACAGACTGGAATTAGACTTTCTGTTATCTTCTGCAGCAGTGACTTTGAACAAGTAAATTTGGGTCTGCATTTAAGATTTTGTATTGAATAATAGCTCCCCACTTTGCCAATATATCATAAGACTTTATTAATTTTTTTTAAAGCCATTTGATATGAAGTAAAAAGGCTATTCAGTTGCAAAATGCTTGTCTATTGTTGCTGGGATTTTTCATTAATATAAAACAATAATTTGAGAGTTAGCGGGCTGAGCTGTCAGCATTCCAGGTTTCACATTAGACCTCAGTATTTAACAGCTGCTTTGGTCTTAATTTAAGGCTGTATTAGATGCATTAATGGGCTTTTCCTAAGATTTTCTTGTACACCTCTTCATGTATGTCTAAACCCTCCTCGAGTGCATCAAAATGAAGATTAGATTCTTCAATGTTCACTCGCCTTTTGGTTTAAAAAACCACCTGACAACTCCAGTTGCTGAAAATACATTTCAGTCTAATGCTTCTGGCAACTGATAAGGACTTTTGAGATACTATTTAATGTACAGTACTTTGCTTTCAAGAGTTATGCTAGCATCTTGAAACAAGGGGCAGAGAAATGGGTTATCAACAGTCTTCTGATACTGAGGTGCTTTATACTTCAGGCAGTCAGTCATTCAATTAATTTTCATTCCCTTTGGATGGTTTATAAACTTCAACCAGACTGTCTACTGAATTACATCCAGTTTTGACTCTTGTTTAGGTCTAATCTGAAGTCTCAGTCTATCAGAGGGAGAAATTCAGTCATTATTTTTAACCAGTTCCAAGCTTCTATAAAATAAAACATTTCAAACTACATTTTTGCTGACCACTATGGCATTTTAAAGTACACGTTATACACTTGCTGTAACCAAACACTGTTTTGTAGAGGGCAGATAGATTGGGGAATGAAGAAGTAGAGAGGAATAGAATTGAATTTTTACTCCTTGCAGTACATTTCATTAAAAAACAGTCCACCAAACTACTCTTACGGCAGCCAGATCAAGAAAAAATGATCAGTTTAAGGAGAAAGCATATGAACATTTATGTTCTGCATGGAAGAATGAGTGCATTTAAAACTAGAGGAAATAGAGAAGAATCCAGGATGGATCACGGCTTTGGAGCCTTCAGTGTCCTGATGACTTACACAGCTGACTGTTCACAAAGCTTAGCGTGGTGCATTTCTGAGCACCTGAGGTTCAAATAAAGAGTTCTGGTCTTCTGTCTAATTCATTTAGACCTTGACCTGTAAAGTGCTACTCAAAATATGTTACGTTTCTGCTCAACAGATTTAGTAGAAAATTTATTCTGAATCTACATGGAAAATTATTTTACAAGACTAGATGTTGTTATAGTATTCATATCCTTTTGTGAAGTGCAACAACACTTACAAACCCTTGTAGACTTGTGCTGCTTGTTACACTATTTGTAAGGTCTCACTAAACCTTTGTTTGCGTCCTTCTACTTTCAGACTCAAAACATCATGTATGACATGATTTCTGACTTAAATGAAAGAAGTGAGGATTTTGAGAAGAGAATTGTTACTCTGGAAACTAAACTGGAGACGTTAATTGGTAGCATTCAAGCTCTACCTGGACTCATTAGCCAGACAATCAGCCAGCAACAGAGGGATTTCCTCGAGGCTCAGATACAAAATTATGATAAGCATGTTGCCTACAGTGCTGAACGATCACGATCTTTGTCAAGAAGAAGGAGATCATCCTCCACAGCGCCACCAACTTCATCAGAGAGTAGCTAGAAGAGAATAAGTTAACCACAAAATAAAGACTTTTTGCCATCATATGGTCAATATTTTAGCTTTTATTGTAAAGCCCTATGGTTCTAACCAGTGTTATCTGGGTTCTGATGTCAGAATCCTGAAACCTGAACACGTTTTAGGCCAAAATGAGTGAAAACTCTTCTTTTCCCCCCCCCCACTCCTCTCAGATGCACAGTGAATGCACCTATTATTGCTATACTAGATTGTTCCTCCTGTTATTTCACTAACTTTTTATTCATGCACTTCAAACAAACTTTACTACTACAGTATATAACATAATAAAAAGGTTAATTTCTGCACATAGTTGCTTGGTTAGTTGGACTTAACCACTAAAAAAAGCTCATAATCATAAGGCCTAATTATAAACTTATAAGAAACAAAATTGAAGCTTTATAATTATTTCTCAGTATGAAAACTAATTCTCTAACCTTTGCTTGCAGTGGAGGGGGAAAAGAATCCATATTCATCTAACAGTGTGCTGTATATGTATAGTCATTTTAAAAGGTCACTGACAGCTTCGATTTCTGAAGTGATTAATTAAAAATATAGTTTATCCTAGAAAACAAGTTACGAAGTACGCTATGGGTTTTTTAAATCTTCTTAGGGCTTTTGTTTAACATGCGTTTGTACACACACACATAGATAATATATATACATGTTTACTTATGTATATACAATTATTTATGCAATGCCCATGGCGAAGATCTTTTAAACTGACTATTTGTAAAGCTACTGGCATGCAAAATGCACAGGTGAAGTCCTGTTCATTTATTCAGAGTCTCATAATTATGCCAAGTAAGTGTGTCCAGACAGAAGCATTTCTTTCAAGCTGGAACTCTCCCATTTTTGAAGTGTTAGGTTGCTACTTGCTCCGCTCCCTTTTTTTTTGTGTTAATGTTTCTGGAGTGAATGACTGACAGAGAGAGTTATGGTTTACACACTGTGTGATGGCAGCACAGGTTCTGCCTGCGTTACATTTGGGCCGTGCCCGTGGCTTCTGCTAGGTTGTCAAGCTTAGCAAGACGCTTTTAGGAACATTTCCAAAAACTATTATAAAAAATGCCTGCTGCGGATTCGAGTTACAGCAGTGGGGTATCTGTGGTACTAGACTCATGAACAAATAATAGAATCTCCTGCTTTCCTTTAAAAAACCTCACAAAGCATCATGTACATGTTTATGAAAGGCTGACTTCCCTCCTTGGTTTATATTCCAAATCCTTTTGTTCATATTCCAAAGTAGCAAAACTAGGTAAGCTTCAATACTCAGCACCTGCAACTTGCATTCACAGTTCCTAACTCTAAACAGGAAACTATTTGAATTTAGGAAATGTTTTGTAGTACTTGCTATTTATGAAAGATACTGGTCTCACCATCCCACCCCCTCCCCCGTGAAGTGACAGACGAGGGTGACGTTATAGCTACGTATAACAAGTAGGCATGTTTCTGGGGAGTGCTACGTCCACTAACAGACGTGAGTTCTGGTCAGTAGCAGCAGGAAGGGAAGATAGTAATGCAGGATGTCAGGGCAGAGCCGTGCCTTACGAGACAGAAGAGATGTTCTCCCCAGCACCCGAAACTCCCCAAACAAAATACATGGTGAGAAAGAAAAAAAAAAAAAAAAAAAAGAGAGCAGACATTTTAGACCTATTTAAAATAAAGTGTTTGCTTTTTTTGGGGATACAAAATATATAACTGATGAATAGTTACATCCAGAGGCATTGCTTGTTTATGGAAAAGAGTTTCTCCAACTTTATGTCCTTGAAAAAGATGGTGACTTTGCAGTGTTTTCCTCCTAGATGAGCAGGACAGTTGCAAGCCCTTGGAGTGCCTTGTTTACAGACTGTGGTATTTTGTGACTGGAAAGAATAAGTGGTATGCACAGTATTTGCAGCTCTGCTTTTGTTTTTATGAAGTCATTTCCAAAGGAAAAGATGGATATTATGGTGTTAATACTGTGCTAGCCCAATCCTAAAATAGATGAGATTTTGAGTGGTCATGAGGCCACTCAATCCTGCTTTACACTGCTGGCAGGATTAGAAGTAGTGATTAATAACATTGGGATTTAATAGTCAAGTTTCAGAATACTTTTTTTGAAAACATTTGTTTGTCCCTTCTCCCATTTCTTTCTGTTTAATTTAAAATATTTTTTCCCATCATTCAATGTGAAATAGGCTTTCTGTAGGTTGAATATATTCCTTTTTGTCCTGTGAGTTTGAACTAGATCTTTCATTGTTTATGACATCTTTTCTGTATTTGTAAGACCTGTTTTCTCCTCTGGATTGTACAACTGGGTTTTTAAAGAACTGTAGCTCCATATGGAAGATTCTGGCTAACCTGTCAGAATTAAGTTTGGATTAAGATCTAGCTATAAGTATTGAGTTGATCTATTCTGATGTGAAGGAGCAACTGTGATCTTTGACCTCTCATTTCTTTTACACAGTGGGACTCAGAAGCCTGAACCCTGAAAGGTACTTGCAGCAGCTTTTTGCAAGCAGGTCTCTAAGATGTACCGGGACTGTCCTCATCAGAAGGATTGTGTAACAATCTGAGAACTTCTTTTGGGTTCCTTTCTTTGTCTTTAAAGCAATCAGCAAATGACGACACTATGGAATACTCCACTACAAATATCTGCATTTTTGGTAATGATGACTATTTTCTTCTAATGCCTGGTTTTGAAAAGCACTTAAGTGCCACATGGGGATATAGTCCATTAAAAGACATATAAAAGCTTATGTTCAAGAGAGCACATAGTCGTATGGGTTTTACTTTCCTTCTCCTTATAAAGAAAACTCCTAATCTTTCCTTTTGTGAGTTTTGTAGTAGCACAAATTCCATTACCGATTTATTTCCAAAACTTAAGTTCCTTCACAGTGTTCAGTGTATGAGCTCACCAAAAGGAAAAACGTAGCATTCTGAAAGATCTCTGAAACTGCTTGTGTTGTTCAATGTAGACGTTACTTTGAAAGATTTACAAATTACAAGGAATCTTTCAGAAAGCTTTTGACATATTTACCAACTTACAGTTGAAAAGATTCATGCACCTCATAGCTATTCAACTTCTCCTTTTTACTGCATTCCAGACACTTATTCCATTTATCAGTTACTCTGGAGTCTTGTTGCTAATCCCTAAATTTTTAATGACACTTAGTGAAGATATCTTGCCTCTGAGGACTGAAATGCAAGATCACAAATAGGCCTATTCACCATAATTAAACCTAAGTACGTTGATTTAAATAGTATTTTTTTAGTGACATTAAAGTTTTTGCGGGATCAGAATAACACATTCACAGATATTACACTTATAAATATGCTGACTAGATGGATATGGTGGCCTTCTACGATGGGGTCATGACGTTGGTGGATAAAGGACAGGCAGCTGATGTCATCTGCCTGGACTTGTGCAAAGCCTTCAACACCATCCTGCATGACAGCCTTGTCTCATTGGAGAGACATGGACTTGACGGATG